TGTAATTAATAAGAAATGACCATATTGCACTTGTTTCAGGAAGCATGAGGATTAAAAATTCACTATCAAAGTATATCAAAGATATCTTTTTGAGAAGATAAAGCATTTTTATTCTTTTTTATTTCCTGCAGTGTGACTGTAGAATGCCCCCCCAAGAGAAAAATGCAACTGGAAATAATAGTAGAAACTCCCATTGCACACTTTTTAAAATATTCCTCCTTGCATGATTGCATAAATGAATCAGACAAGAGGGTGAATCTGCCCGATGGACAAATTAGCCAGAGCTTAATTTATATCAAGTACTATTTCTTTCAGTATAAAACTCACATGAAAAATGATAAAATAGGTACATAGTTACCTGTAGATGAATCATTGAAAACAGTCAAAGATATATCTAACTTAGTGGTGATGCAATTTAACTTTCATTAAATACATAAAGCAATGAGTCCCAATATGTGGCCAATAGATTCCTTCATAACTATCACAAGAAACCTGACTAAGAAATTATAATATCATATACTCCATAAATGTAATATGATTCCTTCACAGTCCCACACTAATATGAAGTGAGGCCTTTTATCAATAATGCCAATATAAATAGGCTAATTTTCAATTCCTTTTGCAAAAGTACATCAAGGGAACAGCTGCTCTGAAAATCACTTTTGTTCTCTAGTTATTACATTATATACCAAATGCAAGAAGTTTCAAGACAATTCCTTGTGGGAACTCTGACATCTGGGATAAGAGAATTTCTTTTCAGAGATAATTTGCTTTAGAGACATTTAGCTTAATTTCTCTAAGTAGTAAAAATGAGAATGAAGAAAATGAATGATAATTAAAAATTAATTCTTTACAAATCCAGATTCGTGTAATTGATTAATTCTGTAACTGAATATTTCTTCAAAGGGTCTCAGGGTGAGAACTGGGCTTGCTTTTGCTATGAAACTAATTCAGAATCACTTTCAAGTCCTAAGAATAAAGGTTATGATCTATTTCCGTACCTTTTGATATACTGTTTAAATTTTGATAAGAGAAACAATTTTCAGTACCTTTCAACCAAAGCTACTGTAAAATATAAGCTGAAGAAAAAGTTCCCAGAAAGTGAAAAACACTTTAGTCACAGGTGTCAAAAGACATCTAAATTAAACATGTCTATTTATTAATGTCTCATTCACAAATAGATGCCTATCCAAATAGAAGTTGGATAGTACAGGGTTCACCTGGATTCCTTGGTCTGTCACAAGTAAATGCAGCTATGTCTCTTCTATATTAGAACACTTGCTGCAATGTATGTTAAATTCAAGATTAGTATGATTCTTTGTTCTGACTTTTTAACAATCCTAGAGTCACCATCTCTTTAAAATCAGGTTTCTTTTGAGATGAGCTCAATTCCTAGCAGCCTTAGGAATATATTCCTATGTTGGTTTTTGTCAAGAATTCCATTGCATTCCCCTAAGATTTTTTTTTTACACTTTCTAATTTAACCTGCAACCCTTACATTCCCTTGGTTAGTGCTTAGATGGTGTCACATCTAAGCACTAACCAAGGCTAATTCTATAGCTTCCCAGACCAGATATAATTGCTCAGTTGCTGCCACCTGCTGGCCAGAGATTTACATGCATATATTTTTTTAAAAAAAAATCTCTTAAGAATGACAGCTTCATTCATATACAAGGGGGGAAAAAGCCTCACATATATTTGGTATAGAAGCAATTAATTAATCCAATTCAAATATGAGCATTGGTTGGTGTACTCTTTGTGTGTGCCCACCTTTAAGCCACTCTGGACTCCTGACTTTCTTGGCAAGATTTGGGAAGTGCTCTGCCATTGCCTCCTTCATAGGCCTGAAAGACTGACTAACCCAAGATCATCCAGCAGAAGCCTAAGGCTCAAAGGTCTCTCAGTTTCTAGCCCAGGGGTCTTCAAACTTGGCCCTTTTGTGGACTTCAACTCCCAGAATTCCTCATCCAGGCACACTGTTCTAGCCTGATGTATTAACCACTATACAAAAATTGGCTGTTTAGCTTTTGGTGTATTGTGGACATACTTTCGGTTTTGTTTTAGGTGTATTTGTGTGCTGTTTCTAACCATGTGAAGATAGTAATTTCTTAATAGTCACTAGCAGGGTGAGACATGGCATCCTGGTGAACGTGTCCATTTTAAAAAATGTTTTATAGCTTTTTATGCACTGGAAAATTTAGATGGTCAGCTGACTGGGATCAGTGTAGATTTAATTTGTTTTGTAAACAAATTTGATCTGCTAAAAAAAGGCCTCCAGAATTAAGGGTTGGGAAGAGTTGCAGTGATCTTAAGGTGCAATATCCTATGTTGAGTTTGTGGGAGAGATGTCAAAAAAAAGTCCATTCCAAGTAAGCAGGATAAACATATTTTCAGCAATTAAAAGTGCTCACATTAAGATTCAAGGAAGATTTCTACCAATTAGTAGCGAATAAAACTGGCATTCTAGATAGAGGTTAGGTGCAGGACAATTAATAAAAGGCAGTACAGGAAAGAGAAGCTTATTTGTTTGCTTGCTTGTACAGTTTAGAAGCTGCCAGATGCCTAATGACTCTGGATGGCTTACAGTTTAAAAAACAGAAACAATAAAACAAAAGAAAGAAATCCTGAGTAGCCAAAGACAAGACACCAGGGGAAAAACATTTAAAAAGGTTTCAGTCCGTACCCTGCCCAGGGCCTGGGAGAATAGCCAAGTCTTCACTAGCTTTGTGAATATCATGAGGGTGGGAGCCACCTGGATCTCTTTGGGGGATATTATTATTGAGTGCACATCTTCTATTTATATAGATATATTTTATGAATTATTACATTTAAATTATATAAAAGTTTTTGATTAACATTTAATTCTCATACTATGAAATCACTTATTTCAGATGCATGTGTGGATTATCAGTGTAAGGAGGGAAATTCAGATCAAATATGCATGATATACAGTCCCCTGGATACAGAAACTATAGATTTGGGATTATTATGGTTAACAATAGTTACAATATAAATGTAAATTTAGTACTATGTTGCCTAATGTTCTCTAAGTAATGTTTAGAATCAGGATGTTCTCTATTTAAATAATTTCTTTCAAAATGCTGAAGACTTCATGTAACAGTGGTTTCAACAGCTGTACTTCATTAAACAAGTCAAGCAGCAAAAAATAATCTTTTAAAAATAGATCTCTTTGGTCATGGATAAAAGTATTCAAATTAATTCAAATATGAAAGCAAAGTCATATTTGAATGGAGAGAACCTCATTTCTTTCCAATAGGAAATGGAATAACTCATTAAAATAGAAAATCATGAACTTAATTTTTTTTTAAAAAAAAATATTTAATAACTTGGTAGCATCCATGGAGGAAGCCAAGCTTGTTGCAGTATGTACAGAATCATCACAGATAAAATTGGTGAGGAAATTATTCCCCAGACTATTAATTCACTAGAAAACATACATCGGTTCCTTATCAGTATGACACATGACAGTTCAAATTGGATATAACATTGTTCTCTTGGGTTTCACTTGTGAAACATCTAATTTTAGCTCTCACCTTCCCTACAAAGAGATAAGTTCTACCCAATCCCCTTTCTTCAGCACCTAAACTTTGAAATATTTAGTTGTCGGAAATTCCAAATAGGAATTTACATCCATTATCTCTGGTTTTAAATAACTGGTTATTTAAGAGCAAGATACGATTCTGAAAAATCCTCAACCATTGAGGTGGTTATAAAGTCCTTTTCTTTTGCATATTGACAGCTAACTGCCTTTTCTCACTAGTTTGTTCTATATTGGGGCCTAATTCTTCTGAAAATTTGTTGAGAATTCAATTGTATTTAAATCTTTGAGTTTATTTTCTGCCTAGGTCAGAAAAAAAGTCTTATTGGTTTATAAAAGTAAGTTATATTTTATTAATATGTGTACCATAATGCATATTTTTTAAAAATTAGCAGCCTCACTAGGAAAAA